CTTAACACATTCAATCGCGGACGACGACACCACATCGCAGATGAAAATCCCATCACGCTTGAAATCACCAAGACTTGTTACTCCATCACTCCAAATCTGGACGTCCCTAGGCCAATTGCCTTTCCTCTGCCAGAAATTATTTCATATCTCTGAATTGTGCACTGAGTAGGCTTCCTTTCAAATCATTCACTGCCCCAACACATAGGCAAGTATCCTGCTATCAAGTCATTACTGTGCGATAACCAATCATGAGCATCATAGCAACCTATGCATAGCCTCTAAGCTCTTAGAAGCACAACTACCGAGCCGAAATGATAGAAAAATCCTTCCGCAAGGCGACGACAATAGCCCAATCAACTATACCGAGAGAAACATCACGCACCACGTCCGTAGTACCATTACAATTCCTCAATTCTTTATTTATAACAAGCGATTTGCGTCATGTAAGGTTGAGTAGGAAGGAAACAAGGGCATAATCCCCAAGGAATCAAATTGTACGATGAGGAATCAAGAAGGAAAGTGCTCCTAACAGCCTTGTAGCCTCTCGAAGATAAGTACAGACGTCTCCGTACCGATCCGCAAGACTCTACTAGACTTGCTCATGATTCGTGAGACCTAAAGGAACCTAGTGCTCTGATACCATATTGTCACGACCCAAAATCTACTAAGGGTCGTGATGGCGCCGAACACCGCTGTCAGGCAAGCCAACCAAAATACTTAATTAAATCCTCGTTTTAATAATTTTGAAAAGTATGATTATTCCTTCAATTTTCACCAGTCAAAGTTAATCGTTTCAAATCACACATGAATGTTAAGAAGTTAATACAAGATATCCCATAATCATCCCAGAACCCGGTGTCACAAGTGCATGAGTATTTACTAGGGAATGAAACAAAATACAATAACTGTTCGGGATACAAAGTGGACAAAAATGAAAAAAAAATAGTAAAAACTCTGAAGGGGACTCTGCTAGCTGCGGGTCGTGTCGATAAATGCAGCTCACCTAAGTCTCTGTATCAACCATGCCGCTAAGCCACTAGCCACATATGAACCTGTACAACAAAAATGCACAACAAGTGTAGTATGAGTACGAAAATAACGTGTACCCAATGAGTATCTCGTCTAATCTCGAAGAAGTAAAGACGAGAGGTCGACTTCAACACTTACTAGTGGTCCATTGATAATATAGTAAAAGTGTGAGAAATTCATGGATTCATAGAACAAAATTAAACTCATAAAGCAGGAAAGCAGGTAAACAACTTCTCAAATAATAAAGGATATCCAAAGATTTGCTTTTTATTACCTTTATCAATTTATCTGTGGCCAGGAAAGGCAAATATCAACATTTAAAATCCCCAATCAAGAAATACAAGCATGCGCATACCAGGCCGAGGTCGTACGGTCTGATCCAATAGAAATGTAAAATGTGCACTGCCGAGGGTCGAACGGCCCGAACCATAGATGCATCTATCACCCCGCTCGCGAATCATCCATGCGACGCGGTCAACATAAAATAAACAAACACCCTACTCGCGAATCATACATGCGACGCAGGTACACATAGAATCACATATTCAACAGTTAATCAAGACTTCATCAGGGAACAACTATCCAAGGAAAATCCAATTCTCTTTTTACAATTCAAGAAAATGAAGCTTAATCTTTTAGAAATTCACTTACTAATCTGATGTGATCTAAGCAATTCAAACCATCAATAGGATTAAAAATATTTCCAAGTACAGCATGCTTTTGGGTCCTAGACTACCCGAACAATAGCATAATAGTAGCTACGCATGGACTCTCGTCGCCCCCTGCGTACGTAGCCCCCACAAATAGGAGCACATAACCAATTAACTCATCTATGGGGACAATTCCCTCTTACAAGGTTAGAAAGGAGACTCACCTCGCTCCGAAGATCCATAACCGGCATTCCACGCTCTTCCAAAGACTCGAATCGATGCACAATGCTCCAAAACTAGCCAATAACTATGCAAATCCATTAATATATGTTCTATTACTCATTACAATCCAATTTATAACAATTCCTAACCCCGATCGAAAAGTTGACAAAATTGCCCATGGGCCCACGTACCCGGATTCCGAAATTTTTCGAAGATAAAGTTTACCCATGAACTCACGAACTCAAACATATGATTTTCTCCTAATTCCATGCCCAAAATCGTAGTACAAATTCAAAATATAAATTACTAGGTCTTCCATCAAAAACCCACATTTCTCACAAATTTTCATGTCTAATCCATATATAATCCAAGTACTTAACTCAAAACTAGTAGAAACCACTTGCCCTGACATGGATGACCAAGATGGAGCTCCAAAATCGCCCAAAGATCGGCTCCCATGGAAAAAATGGAGTTGAAATGAGCTAAACCACTGTTTTAAACAACCTTACTAATTCCAGCATTTCCGCACCTGCGGTCACCTGACCGCTTCTGCGGTCCCGCAGGTGCAGGCTACCCTCCGCTTCTGCAGTCCTCCTCCTAGACTCAACTTTCGCATTTGCGATCCTCCTTCCGCAAGTGTCGTCACGCGTACAAATCGACCGCATCTGCGGTCCCAGCCTGGCCAGCACATTTCCGCGTCTTTGACCCAAGGGCCGCTTCTGCGGCTCCGCACCTGCGGCCCAAACCTCGCAGGTGCAGTTACACCAGAAGGCAGCTAATCTCTTCTTCTTCAAATTCCAAAAATTGATTCGTTAACCATCCGGAAATCACCTGAGGCCCCCAGGACCCCAACCAATCATACCAACCAGTCTCAAAACACATTATAGACTTGGTTGAGGCCTCGAATCATATCAAACAACGCTAAAATCATGAATCGACTCCCAATCCAAGCTTAAGGAACTTTAGAATTTCAAACTTCTATATTCGATGACGAAGCCTATCAAATCATGTCCGATTGACCTCAAATTTTGCACACAAGTCATATTTGACATTATGGACCTACTCCAACTTCCGAAATTGGATTGTGACCCCAATATCAAAAAGTCCACTTCCGGTCAAACTTCTCAAAAACCTTCAAATTTCTATCTTTAGCCAAATGACTCCAAAATGACATATAGACCTCTGAATTCACTTTCTATCGCGCTCCCACTACCAGAATCACCATGCGGAGCTATTCCCAGACTCGAAATCTCAAACGGACATTGATAACCCTGAAATGCACTTCAATCCAAACTTATGAGATTCTTCCAAAAATGCTAACTTCCACAATAGGCGCTGAAACGTTCCCATGTCTTCCAAAACCCAGTCCGAACATACACCCAAATCCGAAATCATCATATGAACCTGCTGGAACTTTTGAATCCCGATTCCGAGGTCGTTTACTCAAAAATCCAACCTTAGTCAATTCTTTCAACTTAAAGCTTCCGAAATGAGAATTCTCTTTCTAAATCAACTCCGAACTTCCCGGAATTCAATTTCGACCGTGCGCACAAGTCATAATACCTAAAGTGAAGTTGCTCATGGCTTCAAACTGCTGAACGACGCGCTAGAGCTCAAAACAACTAGTCGGGTCGTTACAGGCAGAGACTGTAGCGGCTGCGTGTTTTTCCGGGGTTCCATATATATATATATATAAGAGTTGTTGTTTTGTTTATCTTTATACACTGATATACTAACAAAGATAAAGTGATTAACATTAAAAAAAATTGATTCGTCATTTGTAACATTTGTCCATTTGCAATTTCGATCAGCCGATTTATTGAATAAATGATTATAAATTGGATAGAGATTCATAACAATGAGACTTATATCCCAGAAGTTTCTAACTTGTTTTGAGTAATTAAATTAACACACTAATAATCAAATAACTAATTGATTAATGGAACAGTCACTTTGAAGCTATATTTCTCTAAAACTAATTTATTGTTGCACAATATAACAACTGCGTTATGAGTGGGAGCTGGAAGATAACTTAAAGATTCAATTCCTAAAAATTTCCTTGTGGAGAACTTAAAGAGATAACATTTGACTTGTTTAATTTATTAAATAAATCACATGAGCCCAGAGCTATGAAGTAACCTTTACATTAAATATCTTGATAAGGAAAATTATAAGTTGACCTAATTTATTAACCTTTGTTTATTTTGAAAGTAGGCAAATATTGAAGTAAAAGCTCCTTTTCATTAATTATGTTGGAAGGTAGGTCAATAAATTTAAAGCAAAACAAAAATACTAGTATACTACTAGTAGCAAACTCTTTACTTTCTAAAAACGCATGGATAATATATAATGTACTACGACAGGTAAAGGGGTGGGGTAAGGTAAAGGGTTTTTGATACATCTGGAAAAATCGAAATTAAGATTAGAAATTTTTAACAAACATGGTCAAGAATTATTACTCTTTCGTTTCGACTCAAGAAAAAAGGAATTTTCTACACCCCTTTCTTGTGTCGAAGACTAGAAAGACAAATAACCCCTCCTAAAAAATTTTGTTCCATATTGTATTTTGTGAATCACCTCAACTAATTTCTTTTTATATTATGGTATAGTCGTTTGGTATCACAAGTTCACTGACTCGACTAATACAAATTAATGTTGTATAGAGATTAATGGAGAAAACACTCCTAACCAGGGTTTCTTTATTCTCATGCTCAAGCATGAGACCTCTGATAAAGAAGCGATTATACCAACCCACCACTCCTTCGGGATGTACCTAAACTAATTTCTGAAACAAAAGTGTGAAATAAAAAACAGTGTATCGTAATTACATATTCTTTTGAAATAACATTTGATAATCAAAAAATAGGAAAAATGACACTGTATAGCTTCTCTCAAAATAATATCCGAAAAAATGTATATTTTTTGTATATATATACATTCTGTATATTATATACAAAAATTATACAAATTTTATACACTTTTTCGGCTACCAAATGTAAATAGTTTCTGGCAAGGGCTAAAAGTGATAATACCAATGGCGCATCGACATAAAATTAGTGTTTGTTTTAAGAAAAGGTTTATCACAAATACTNCTATTCTCTCATTAAAAATGTCTAAAATTGACAATTCTGCTGTCCTTAGCATTTGCAAAACAGTTCTAGTTTGTGGTTTAGTTCTATACGTGGGCACCATTATTCTTTTCAATGAGTCTAAATGTTCATCTTCTGATTTTTTCTCTCCCTTGAAACTCACTATCTCTCCTTCTAATTCTCAAACAAATACATTATCAAATGATGCAAAAACCAACAATGCCACAAATATTAGCCATCTTCTTTTTGGACTTTTAGGGTCAGAAAAAGCATGGCATCATAGAAAATCCTATATTGAATCTTGGTGGAGACCAAATATTACAAAAGGATATCTTTTACTAGATTTTCCTCCTAAAGGTGATCTTTTACCTTGGTCAATAAATTCACCTCCTTATAAAATATCAGATGATGTTCCAAAACTTGTTGAAGAAACCAAACATGTTGATCCAACAGTTTTAAGATTAGTTCATGGGATTATGGAGGTGTTTAGAGAAGAACATGAAGGTTTAAGATGGTTAGTGATGGGGGACGACGATTCAGTATTTTTCGTGGATAATATGGTTGATATTCTCGCGCAATATGATCATACGAAGTATTATTATTTTGGTGGACACTCGGAGTTTATATTATCGAATTATTGGTACTCGTTTAATCAAGGTTTTGGTGGAGCTGGATTTATATTGAGTTATCCTTTGGCTAAAGCATTAGCAAATAATATGATGTCTTGTTTAAAGAGATATGCTCATTTGAAAGCTGCTGATAGAACTACAATGACTTGCATTGCTGATATTGGTGTCAACCTTTCTCCTCTTCAGGGTATTCATCAGGTAATTTTTTAAAAAAAAAAAATACAGGCAAGAATCATTAAGTAGTTATATGTTTGGATAAAAGTGCTGAAAATAATAATAAACAGTTAATGTATTTGATTTTCTAATGATTAAAATGCCCTAAAGTTATTTACTGAAAATATCAACTACTAGAAAGTATCTTTAGAATGAGAATGACAAATGATGAAAAACACCCTTAAAGCATCTTTAGGGGTGTTTTTTCAAAAAGGGTATTTTTGAAATTACAAAAAGATATTATGAAAAAAATATTGGTCTAACTAAAAGGTCTCTTTAAGCTGAAAAACCCTTGGGGGTGATCAACTTACAATTTTTAACTGATTCTGACTTTATAAACACTTAGTATAAATAATTTTGGTATTTATCAAACGCGTAAATTTAATTAAAAAGTGTTTTTAAGTCAGTCAAGCCAACTTACAAGTTTACCAAAAAACTATCTTACTTTTAACCTTTATTAATTCTTCGATATTACTTTGCAGATTGATCTACGTGGTGACCTATCAGGATTTCTATCATCTCATCCAAAATCTCTATTAATGTCTCTTCACCATTTTGACATGGTTGAACCAATTTTTCCCTCTTTAGACCGTGCACACTCAGGATTTCATCTCTTAAACGCTGCAAATTATGATCAATCAAGAATGTTACAACAAACCATTTGCCACAAAAGATCAAGTAATTGGACATTTTCAGTTTCTTGGGGTTACTCAGCTCATATTTATGAGAAAATTATGCCTAGAAGTTGGATTCAAAATCCAATTGAAACATTCAAAACATGGAATAAAAGTCCTAGGCCACCACATTACATGTTTGACGTTAGAAGTCCTTCTTTGGATCCTTGTGAAGCTCCTCATGTTTTTTTCTTCAAATCTGTTGAGAGAAATCCAAGAAATGAAATTGTTACTACTTATACTAGAGGATGGCCAAGAGGGATTGGAGCTTGTTTGTCTTCTGGAAATTATTCTGCAGAATATGTTTCTGAAATTCATGTTTACTCATCAGCAACAAAACGTATTGAGGTAATGTTCTCTACTTCCATAATCTCGTAATTTTGTATGATGATATTGTATGGGGGCTTTGGAGCAACGATAAAGTTGTTTTCGTATGACCTATAGGTCACGGGTTTGAGCCGTGGAAGCAACCACTAATATTTGAATTAGGGTTTCCTGCGACCTACGTGACCGCGGAATACTTTCTGCACCGCGCTACTCTTTACACCGTAAAGCAATGAAACTAGTCACCTAAAAGTAATAGTTTAACGTAAGGTAATATTCCCGCTAGAACATGTTAAAATATACTGCTAATACATAGTTAAATCCATTTCTATATATGCAAATACTGAAGGCAATTGGTTTCAATAGTTTTAACTGCTTTTCTACTTAAAAGGGTCAAGAAATTATTAGTTTACCATAATAATATATTTTGGCTCCGGAGACTTCATGAAAATAAATAACATCAAATAAGAAGATCCATTCATAATTTGCTGTAACTTGCCAATTCAGGAAAGAGAATTAAAGAGATTAATTGAAAGTAACTCAACATACGAGATTGCAATCATACAAAGCAAGAATATAAGAAAATAATTCTGCAGAAATTTTTATATATAGATATAGAAGAATATATTTTATAATTTATTATAAGTTTGCTTCTGAAATAATGTGAGTGAGTTTGTGTTAAAGTATTTCTATTGCTTATAAATTAATTTAATGAATAATTTCTAGGTCAAATGCATCTCCTTTCTCATTGACTTCTAGTTTTCTATACATTTTTCCAATTATAACATTAATCACCTTGAAAGGGCGAGAGATTAGGTTGACCCAATATAATTTATAGAATTTGAGGTTTATACATTCTCTTTTTCTTTGTAACGGTAGTGTCTGGGTCAGCTAGCGCGTACACTAATTTTACAGGATACCTACTACCTCATATTAGTATGCGCACCGCGTAACTCTATCCACTAAGACTTAATAGATGAAAAGAAGTAACTTAATATTTTAGTCTCGACATAATTCTGAACCTGAAACTTGATGGCTCTTTGGTGTTTGTAAATCATGTTAAGGACTAAGAGAAGTATTTCTTTCTTTAGGTATCAGTTTTTTTTCCCTTTAATTTTTCACAAACAACATTTAGCATTATTAATTAATTAGCTTAATTTGAAAGAACTAAATCATAATGCCAAGTCCTACGTGCTATTAAGTGAAGACAATTGGAGTGAAACATGCTGCCTTTAGGGAAACCCCAAAGTATATTCTCCCTCTTCTAGAAGTACTTTGACAAATGGAGAAATAATAATAACATGACAAAAAGAAGGCCAACCTCGTACATTCAAATTACAAAAATCATGATTGAAAATGAGTTTTTGTTTAATTGTGTTTGTATGTCAAATGAGTTTTATTATATAAAGACATTTGGTTGTTAATAAAAGATTATTTAATTTAGACTATTTGGAATTTACTGATTTACTAATCTATTGCTAAATGACTCATGGCTAACAATATTTTTAATAATCTATTATTAATCAGTTTTTGTTTGCAACAAATTTATGCAGAGAAAAATAAAAGTGCAATCACAAACAACTATAAAGAAAAAATAATTTTATTGATAAACATTGTAGGTTACAACTCCATTTATCCCTTGATTATTCCCTCAAGACATATTATCTTTGATCTCTAAATGAATATTCCAAGAGTTTTATGGAATTTCGGAGATCTCATATTTGATCTCTTTGTGCATATTCCGAGAGTTTATGGAATTGTTGAGATGTCTCTTCAAAGGAATATGTATTCCTTTATATAGGTGTGCATTAGAGTTTAGGGTAGAGAAACCTCCGAGAAACCCTGATAGACTCATAGGATTTCAAGAGTCTTGTAGTATCTTGAATTTAGGATTTAGCTTGATCCGTTAAAATCTTGATGTCTACAATTTCTAAGTAGGATTAGCAACAAATTTTGTTGTTTAGCTATAGAATTTGTCCGTCACTAATTCATGTTTGTTTAGTAGTTTCCATTCCCCCAATGAAAAAGAAAAAAAAAAGGAAAAGAGAGAGAAACTTGCAAAAATCTCCAATCTGATCATTTTTTTTTTGTTGTTGTCATTTTTCTTTTCAGATTGATAGGTGTGAATGTTGTGATGTAATTCATGAAGCTGGATCAAATAAGGCTGAAATCAAGTATAGAGAGTGTATGATAGATGAGATAATAGCTTGATTATTCCATAATATGCTGTTGTATAAGCAATTATGTCAATTTTCTTTTTTTTCCTTATTAGTATATTTTTTTTCCAAAAGATAATTGTTATGTACTTAATTCAACACATGAAAGAGTCATGTAATGCTGAAGAGATATGTAACTTCTGCACACATAAATATGTAGCTTAATTATCTATTTTTTTAGACGGAATTTAATAAAATTTTATTTTGATTCACATCGAAAGATCGAGCAATTATCTTGCGTCTTTTACTTTTCATTTTTAGTTATTCTCCTCGAGCAAAATAGATACATAAATAGAAAAAAATTACAAAGAGAAAATAAAGTTATCGTAAATGCAATCACGTGTATAGTATATACTAGGAGTACATGAATTGTGAAGAAGAAAAATTTCACAGTCTATGTTGTACTTGAATTATAGAGAAGAAAATAGGTCCAATCAATAATGTAAAATAGTATTTTTCACCTTATAAGATTTTTCACCTTATCTTCAACAAATGAATAATGTAGAATAATATTGGAGTCCTAACCATTGCACCTCTTCCTTATTAAAGTTTTCTTATATATACGGGTCCTTCAAAATCAATTTTAGAAAGCAGCTCCCCCTTCTTTCTAAAAACTTGAGACTACCTCTACCAACTCAACTGTCCCAACCAATCTAGATGGACACAGATTCAGAAATGATCCTTATTCCACCCAAATCACCCGACATTAACATTGATGATAGTATCAAGAACTCTGGACATCAACAAACCACATTTAAAAACAAGTTAATTAAGGGAACTAAAGAGGCGGATATCATTTTTGAATCTACCGGCCCCCTATCCAATGGTGCTTACTCCTCATCAAGATATTCGGAAGTTAATACAACTGAGAAAGGAAAAATCATCCTCTCACAAGAGGATAAGGAACGCATGTACATGCCTTGGAAATATTCCATAATCCTTAAATTACAAGGCAAACGAATTCTCCATCAAACCCTTAAAGAAAAGGTCCAAGATCTATGGAAAGTAAATGAAAACTTTCCTCTAATTGATTTGGGAGCAGACTACTATATTGCTAAATTTCAAAAACAAGATAGCATGAATCAAGTCCTACAAAATGGACTATGGTTCATCTTTGGTCACTTCTTATCTTGCCAAAGGTGGGAATCGAATTTTATAACGTCCAATGCTAAACAAATATGCACAGTTGTATGGGTCCGGCTACCTAAATTTGCCTATTGAATTATACGATGGAATTATTCTCCAAAAAATTGGTAACTCAATTGGGAAGCTCTTAAAAGTTGATGCTTGTACTTCCTCCACCTTGAGAGGGAGATATGCTAGGTTTTGTGTAGAATTGCCAATGAACAAACCAGTGGCCAAATTCATACTTATAGAAGAACACAAACAAATTATTGAATATGAAGGAGACAAGATACTGTGTAAGAACTGTGGTTCAATAGGTCACATAGTTGGCCAATGTTCTATGATATTAAAATCACTATCCTAGATGGAGAACATTAAAGAAAGATCTGACCAAATGCAAGGCACTCAAAGTTCCATTACATCAAGCAATGGGGACATCTGGCACACCGTTTCTTTTCAAAAACCAAGAAGGTCAGTTAGGAAAATTCCAGATGCAGGGATGGAAACTTCTACGGAGGAAGGTATTAATGTTAAATTATTTAATGCTTAAACTGGTAAGTATATCAACACCTAAAAATTTAAATTTGTCAATAAACACTCTAATACCTTATCTTTAAATAAGGATGTTAACTGCCCTACTCATATGGCTTATTCCACCAAAGCCATGATAAACGAGAATAAAGCTGGGTTCAGGCTGGAAAACAGCTTCTCAAAGTTGTGCAATGAGCACATGGTTTTGGATGTTAACCCTCCTAAAAATAATAATTTATTATTCAATAAACATAACAAGCAGCAATCCACGTGTATGCTCGACACTACTAAGTGTGCTACTAGTAATAATACTTTTACTAATCTCATTACCCTAGTCCCTAATATATCTTCTAGTAACCACCAACCAAGTCATCTTGCTAATGACCCCAACAGTATTAATTACATTACCTCTAATGAGTTCACCACTAAAAACAAAAAGTCTGTTAATGCCAACCAACACTTGTCCACTAAAACATCTCCAAATGAACAAATGGACGAAGACACACGACAAGTGGTAGAACAGTGCCATGCGCTATCCACTCCAAAATCTTCTTCTAATATTCCTACGCTAACCAATTCAGAATGCATGAATGTAGAGACAATTATAACCTACCCTTCTACCCCCTCTAATTTAAGTGAAGACAAATATCCCAAACATGCCAAGGCTTCCATTGAACAACAGAAGGAGATACAGGCTTATACAACTCCTTCGTCCACCAAGGCCACTGAACATGGCAAACCTTCCACCACTACCAAACCAACTCCCAAAAACCCAATAATCTATGTCCAATCACCATTACCCCAAGACCATCACCCACTATCTTGGATAGAGATAGGTCTAATGGGAAGAGGTATGATGTTCAATGCCACCATCAACGGATAGGAGAGTGTGATATTAGTTCAAAACCCACGTTACTTAGCCCAACTAGTGTCAGAGGGCCTTCACCTGGCCATGAATAACTACATGAACCATGTCTGGGTGAACAACATCTTACAACCTTTAGCTCCAGCAATGAATCCAAATCTAGTCCAAGAAATGAGAGCTCAATGGAACTTACCCCCTCACTTCAATCATGTCCCCATCCTACCCTAGAACTTAGGCCTAGATCTACCTTTCTTTCCCCCGGAAGCTCTAACAGCTATGAACTCAATCTTAATGCAGTGGGATGTACCACACCCACAGAACCCCAACATGCAAGTCCCTATGGAAAATATCAATCTCAATCCCCCAGTAGCTCCAAACGTAGACAACCACATGGAAGAGGAAATGATAGATCCAATAGATTTGATAGGGGAATCAATGGTGGAATTGGGAAACCTAAGCGAGGTAAAGGTTTTCTTGTTCAAAGAAAACCAAGAGAAGAAGCATATCCTCTCTTGACCACGGAATCTTTTCAGTGTTCAATGGACATTCGTCCACCACACGATCCAACAGTGGGGAACAAGGCAATGATCTTTGTACCAACGCTGAGGGGGAACTCTAACCCTACCAGGGGAATACTGGAGAATGGTCACAACCCAACCCCAAATGTTGACATGTTTAATCCTACTAATTTTATAATATGGAACATTAGGGGAGGGAATAATGAAGATTTTAGAAGGAACTTCATGGATCTTGTAGATACCCACAGGCCTTGCATGGTAACCCTACTCGAGACTAGAATGCATTCACATGCCCCACTGTTAAACGAGTTTGGATTTTCTGAACTCATCGAGGTGCCAGCAGTTGGACAAGCTGGGAGCATGGTGCTTCTTTGGGATCATACCAAAGTGAATGTCCATAATATTGTGCATAAGAACCATGAAATCCATGCAACCATTGAGGTACGTCCTACTAACTTTAAATGGCTTCTTTCATCAATATATGCTAGTACTAGCACTGTAGATAGAGATGTTATGTGGAACAATTTGAAAAATTTAGTTGACTCTCACCAGGACACATGGCTAGTAGGAGGGAATTTTAACGATGTGTTTAGTTCTTGTCACACCTCCTTTTTCCGCGCCCGAGAGGCGCAGGGGGAGTTTTTCCAATTAAAGGACAATCGAAACGGGGATGGTTTATTAATTTCAGA